AATTGCTGATAACTGAAACTGCTCGTAACCTTAGGCAAATATTCTAGAGTGAGTCAGTCAGTCTTCTACGATTTGCATACATTTTATAAAATGTATGCAAATCGTAGAAGACTGACTCACTCTAGAATATTTGCCTACAGTTACGAGCAGTTACAGTTCTACAGTTAACTGTAACTGGTGCATGCCTAGCCATATACTACCGGTACAGTGGTTTTTTTTTCGTAGACTAAATACACAATACTCTGACAAAAGCGTTTGCTGGTCGAACATGAAAGATTCGAAGATTGGTTCGTTTGACTTTTTTTTTCTAATTTCAATACCACATGCACATAATCACAGGTTCTAGAGAGAAAAAGAACTTCACAACTCTTGTATAACGCGAATAACACAATTTTCAACGACTGACCGTTCTTCACATCTAAACGATTTGCAATGAAACATAAGGTCATCAAATGAAATAAATCGTATCTAGTCTATGCACAGTCATGTACTTCTTGTTCAATGTCCTTCTCTTGAACTCTTCGTATTTTCAAGTTCTAATTTCCTACAGTGTTAGCGAAGACTTTCTGAAATAATAAACTGTAAATCTAGATTTCGTGAGTGGTCATCGACTAAATTTATATTTCTAACGGTCAACAGTGGGTGGTCATTGGTCATCCGATTACGGATACCTCTATATTATATACACTGAGGCAGGAAATGAGATGAGTCATTTCAAACAAAGTCGATCCGTGATTAGTTCCCAAGTTTCAGCGAATGAACTATGAGCGCTATATTAGTGCACGTCGTTTTAAAATGTATCAACCATTTTCTGTTACTGTTGATGTACTCAAATTTTCCAAGTGAGCAAAAACTTGAGTTACAAAATTAGACTCAGTGAAGAATCAAGAAAATTAGTGTTTAACTTTTACGTGTAGTACGTTGATAGTAGCGATCGAAACTGGCTCTGGAACATTACTGCGAGATTATTACGACACGATCTTGCTTCTCGATAGTCTAATTAGGGTGGATTTTCAAATAATAGAATAAATTACACAAACTTGTTAGAGATAACTAATCTTTTTTACTAAAACTATATCAGAATATATATTTATAACAGCGTCAAAATTAATTACAATTTCATATTAGAAATATTTGTTTTTTTGATTGTTTTTCTCTGTTGTTGTTTATTTGTTTGTTCTCTTTTTATCTGAATGGTATCTTATTCATGTTGTGTATGTGCCTACACTATGTCAAAGAACTCTCTTGTATCATTGATCGATCATTAACTTGATTTGGCTACTAGATATCGATCTATACTCGCTTAAATACATATAAATAAATGTTAGATTTTCTTCACCTCACCAAAGACGTAACATGATTGTTTATTGGCTCATAGAAAACTGTCCATAGTTTATCCTAAAAATCAACTACATTGGACTGGTTATTTTAATTCGTCAACGCTCATTAAACTTAATTTTGGTTTTCTATACTGGCGTTTTATCAGCTAACACAAAAATATTTGAGTGTTCTCGTATATACGATCAATATATAATTTTTGTTAAAATGTGTTTTATTACAAATTCTTTTAACTTTAATTTCGCATTTCTTACACCTCATTGTCTTCTGCTTCGGTGTATATGTTTAATTGAAGTCTACAAAATTTTTTTTAGTGATTTAAAGATAAATTAGATTGGAAGAATCTTTTTGTGTATCGGTTGTAGACTAGAAAAATGTCGACTCCACAGTCAGCAGCAAAAACAACAACAACAACAACGACAAAAGTCGTTAAAACCGTTGGTTCAACGCCGAAAAAAGCAACCGGTGTTGCTGGTGAAAAAAAGCAAATAAATTCTCATAAAAACCAACGTTTAAGTACAGTTGGTTTAATGAAATTTTCCCGTGGACGTATGTTTCATCGTCGTGCTATATGGCGTATTGGAAAATGGAAAGAAGAGCAAACAAAATTAAAGGAAACACAAAAAAAGACAAAAAGGTCTTCAGCGAAACGTAAAGAACCAGCAATGAAAAAGAAAGCAATTGGTGGAGAAAGAAATGGAAAAGAGCGTTCTGTTCGTTCAAAACGTTTTGTAAGTTGAAAAAAGTTTTAGTATTAATAGATTATGCATTACATTTGTTTCTATGTTATTTAGCCACGATATTATCCAACTGAAGAACGACCAAAAAAATTTCGTGTTAAACGTAAAAGATTCAGTCAACATGAAAGAAGATTTCGTTCAAATTTAACACCGGGTACAATCGTAATCATGGTAGCTGGCAGATATGCTGGAAAAGTAAATAGTAATTAGTCTAAAAATTCTCAATAAATTTAACTAATATTTTTTCATTTTGTTTAGCGTGCCGTTATTGTCAAACAATTAAAATCTGGATTGTTACTTCTTACAGGTATTGAAGAAGCTGAAATTTCTTTTCTTCGAAGATTACAGAACACGTCAGATGATGATTGAAACATAACGAATAAATTTGAAGACAATAAATTTTCACTACCCACTTACTGATGACGTGTTCTTTTTACAAAACTCTACGATAGTTCTGAGTACACTTGTAACTTTTGATACTTGTTCAGTTATCGTAGTGGCGATGGTTTTTCCAAAATAGAAAGTCCAGTTTCTTTTATCTACAGACAGTTTTGAATGACGTCTACGGATGCAAGATAACCAGGAACATTCTTCACACATTCAGATAAAATATACTAGAATTTAGAGTTGGCTTAAGAATAGATGCATTTTGAGAATTTAAATTGACGTCTTATGCAAAAAATCAATAGCTTTCACTGCTTAGCAACTAATCAATTGAATAAAAGCTTAATTTTAGCTTTTTTTATGAGAAAGCAATGACCAAATCGGACTGTGTTCATTGCACGGTAGTGCAGAGAAAGACAGAGAGAAGATACGGTAACTTAGGAGAGAGAGTTGACATGACCAAAATTAAAAAACAGAAATCTATATTGTAAACAAAAGGAAACGAGAAAGAGTGAAAGTTAAGAATGAACAAAGACAGACTGGAAGATATGGAGTAGCGATGAAGGTGCGATGTGGCATGTGTGTAAGACAGAAAATTATATAACGAAAAAAAACATCATTTAAAGTCTCGAAACGAACAGATTCTTCAATAAATTTCAGAATGGTGCAATAGATATTTTCATAAAATCTTTTATGTATCGTCAACAGTAGCTTCACTGTATTTCTTAGAAAAATAGCTTTTAAGACACGAAAAGAAAGATTTTTCAGAAAAACCTTTGAGAATACGGCGGACAAAGTACATAAAAAGTTCGACAGCTGTGGTTTTATAAAAGTGGATGATAGAAAAGTTGTTGACTTCTCGGCTTTTAATCTAAACATTGTTTATCTAAAATATTATTTCGTTTTAATATAACTGATCGAGATTCTATAGGATTAATAAATAATGGTGGACATAATGAATTATTTACATTTGATATTATACTTTGACGTCTTTTTCGTATATTTGCTGAACTAAGTACATAAAATGGTACTGATAATACTGATCCATTATGTGTTGATGCCGCTGAACATATTCGAGTAGGTGTTGATAAACGTCGTTGATAAGTTACTAAAGGTGGAATATTAATAATTTGATGATTTTTATTATTATTACATCGTTGTCCTAATGTTAATTCATTTCTTATTAGATTTTTACAACGATCATGATAAAATAAACATGCAACATCGTATGCTGTTGAACCATGATTATTTTTTTTTGTTATATCTGCTGAATAACGTTTCATACATGTTAAAATTAATCGAACAATTTCAACATTTCCAATATAACAAGCATAATGTAAACATGTATTTCCATGAATATCAGTTGATTGATTAATATCAAAATCTAATGATGATAAAAATTGATGAACTAATGTTATACGTTCATTAATAATAGCATACATTAATGAATTTAAACCATGTTTATCATGATATTGAATTTTTGCACTAAATTCTAATAAAGATAATACAATATTTAATGACCATGTATCATCATCAATAAAACAACAATACATTAATGGTGTTCGATCTTCTAAATCACGTTCATTTGAATCGGCACCCGATTCAAGTAAATAACGTACAAATGAAAAATATCCACGTTCAAGTGAATATAATAATGAACGTTTTACTAGACCACGATCAAATTTCATCATATTAATTGATGTTGATGATTCACATAATGTAGGTAATTGTTGATGAGATTTATACATTTGAGTTTTTAATAATTTTTTTGATGGTTGACTTGATTTAATAAAATGCATATTTTTCGGCTAAATATAGACGAAGTATTTTGTATAACGTTTAAAAAATAAACGATAATGAAACGGCAAAATAACTTTATATACTTACAAGAAGTGGTGTTGTTTATTAGAAGAAGAAGAAGAAAAAATAAAATGAAAAGATTTTCATATGATTAAAATG